ACCATATTTAGGCCATAAAGAGACGACTTAATAGAGACGTCTTTTCAACTACCTGAAAAGGCGGCTTTTCACCTTTCACTTTTCAACCACCCCCCGATGAATCGCCACCTTACCGCGGTGGAGGGGTCTGAGTGTCCCTGTGATCCTGGGAGCTATGTTGTCCGGGGCATTAGCCCCTGGTAGGGTCTCCCAAGGCAAATTGGTTCTGGGGGAGGGACCAGACAAAGAGCGATTCAGAAGACCCTAATGAAAATCAGAAAAAGGACTGCCGCCACCTCGCCCGGAATAGGGAAGCCGGGGCACCCCCCTGGAGCCAGGCCTGGGGGGGAGCTCGCCGGAGAGCGTCTGGTGGCCGAGCCTTGGGGCCCCGTGGGGCTCGGTCAGGCACAGCCCGAAGAAGCTACACGGGGCCACTTTCCCGAGGACCCACCACCCTCGGGGAAGAGGTCGGGTGCTATGCCCACCGGGTGGTAGGCAGGAGCGGGCGTCCTGGCGTACNAGACAGATACAACATATTTTCAATAATATGAACTTTTCTCATAGCTTTGGTATATAAGGTCTTTTTGAGGCTTTGCTCACAGTTCATTGTGTGACAGCACTATGGCAGGTCGATACTGGCAGTGAAGCTCTTGATCATGTATTTGATCACCACGCTGGTGAGGAGGAGGCCAGGAAACTGACAGTGAGGATGGATTAGACGAGGAAGTGTCAAAAGCTGAAGACGATGCAGAATATAATCCAGACCGTGGTGTGGATGGAGGTGACGGAAGCAGGGGAAGCTTTTCAAGAGGAGGCTATTCCTTTAGGAGTTGGGGAAAGCCATGCTGGCACCCCACATTCAACACCTTCCCCGAACGCCAGCCTCTGCAGGATTAGTGAGATAGATGCAAGGCCTTGCTACAAGCGAGAGGTGACAAAAGGAAGAGGTGCAGTCTGTGTGTGCCAAGAGATGTGAAAACAAGCATAATGTGCCGTAAATGCAATGCATATATTTGCAAGGCACATGCTACAACTTGCACATGTTGTCCAGCATGTGCATGAGAAAAAACACCATTGAAGTTTGAGTTAACCCCCACTCCAAGTTTAGAAGCCTGATTTTATTATAAATTCTCAGATATTTTTTTGTTATCAGGCCTAAAGACATCTGATGTCTGATATCGTACCTATACACCGCTTCACTTGGGTCACGGGGGTGCTGGAGTCTATCCCAGCTGACTCAGGGCGAAAGCAGGGGACACCCCCCACCCAGCAAAAAGAGGTTGAAAAGACATTGAAAAGACATCTTTGCTATACGTCTGAACTACGTCAAAATTTGGTTGAAAAGTGAAAGGTGAAAAGCTGCCTTTTTCAGGTCATTGAAAAGACGTCTCTATTAAGACATCTCTTTATCATCTTGCATTGCATTATGGGTACCGTCGTCCCTCCCACCAAAAAGGTTCGACCTGGCTTTTTATAATAATTGATCAGATTTATATTGTGCTTTTCTACACACTCAAAGACGCTTTACACTGTAAATTATTCCTTCACACACATTCATTCCGGTGGTGGTAGCTACGATTGTAGCCACACCTTGGGGCAAACTGACAGAGGCGTGGCTGCCATTCTACGCCTACAACCCCTCTGACCACCACCTCAAACAATCCATTCTATCTTGCTCGCTAGATAAATATAACAGATAATAGCAATAATCCTATTCCAGACATTCATTTCGCAAAACTTACAGCCCAGAGGCTTTGCTGAACATCAGGGCAATGAACTTTGCTAAAATTGCAGCGGCTGACAAAAATATGTAATGTTGTGTCTCTAAAAGGTCAAATAAAAGGCCAATGAAAACACTGAAAGTAACAAGATGAGAGAGCGTTTCTTCAGGATTTAAAAACATTTAAATACAGAAGTGTTTGCATAGCTGCATCAGCACTTCAGCATTCTGACAGCTTGTGGCATGAAGCTGTT